AAAATTGCAAATTAAAATGTGTTCATGAAAAATAAAACTTGTGATTGTTTTATACAGGACATTATAACCGACTTGCAGATAAAGTATGATAAGTAAACAGATAATTTGCGGTTAATAAAAACAGGTAAACGATAAACTGAATATCAGGTCATAAACAAATTCTATAAGGACGTTTATCAGTAGACGATATTGCCGGTCATTCTTCCTCGTTGAAAAAATCCGGAGTGTTGGTGTCGTGGGGGCGAGGGAAAGGGCGCAGTAAAATGGGAAGTCACCTAGCTGAATGCGGCGAAATACATTCATCTAAAGTTTTCTTTCATGACTTGGATATAGTGATTCTTTCCTCTTCAATAATTAAATATACAAATATACAAAGTGAATGTTAATTGTGGGGTTTGGGTTTCGTTTAAGTGGGTTGGGGTGGAGATGCGGTCGTAGTTAAAACCCTTTTGAAACAGTTAAGTTTGGTCACTTACATGATCTTCGCTTTCCCAATTTTATCATTATTAGATTTGTCTGGGTGGGGTGGCGGGACTAACGCGCGAGCTTGACATCATACGGTCTGTCACTGGGTCAAGTTGCGTGGTTTCGATTCCATAGTTGGACGTGACAGAGATTATAGAATTCAACTTCTAAAAGACCCCTTCGTTCGACCGAATTAGTGAAATAAAATGTAGGCCTTACATACGTTAGTCCCAAAATGATAGCTTGTGTTAAACGCTCTCTCTCTCTCTCTCTCTCTCTCAATTTCAATGTCACACGTGATATATAAAACCTATCTATGCTATCTGATAACAAAAGAGTGGACAATATTGAACAATTGAGCTCCTGTCTTTACTATTATACTGTAGCGGATACTTCACATAAACTTTACATGGTGAAATATGGGATTATACTAACAATGTACCGAGTGCTTGAACTTTCAAGTGTTAGGATGAAATTACAAACTGTAACCAGTTCATGTGTCGAAACCATAATAAAATATTTCATTGTTACGAAGTTGGTTTAATGGAAAATGGTTTAGATCTTGTCACTATGGGAAGATTAGAGGTTCAACTCTACAGTATGAATCAACAGTCGAACTGTTTTGCTAATATATCATACTTATTCATTATTTATATTCTAAATATGGTCCAGGCCCGTACCCAAAAGGGGGGGGCAATGCCCCCCCCCCCCCGAAAAAATGTTTTGCCCCCCCCCCCCCCCGAAAACAAATTTGCTGACCATAGCTCTAAAATACCTACTGTAGACTGTGCCGGGTGTGCCCCCCCCCCTTAAAACCTTCACTGCCCCTCCGAAGCTAGCAAGCTGGCTACGGGCCTGATTTGGTCACCTACTTTTCTGCACGGACTGGACTATTGAAGAATGAAGACAGTCGTACACCATGTGCTATATGGGGTAATTTTGCCAAGGATTCTTTTACGTGTATGCCAATGTGTACAAGAGTGCACATCGGTTTTCCGTCCCATCCGAACGAATGGGGCGCTTTTCCTTGCCAGGCGACAAGGAGATACATGTACCAGGCAAGACAATTTTAAGAAATTTCTAAGACAACACTAGGATCGAAAACGGGACCGCTTGGTTAGTGCACTAGTGCTATACTCACCGAGCCATCGTGGTTCCCCCAATTGGAATCATTGTCGGAATGGGCCTCAAGATTAATGGGGGTGGGTCTTACAAACACTATGGATTGTGCCAGCTCAGAGAAACGCCCACTAAAGGCCATTTCCCCGATTATATAATTATTGCATTATTGTTCTTCTGCTCTATGGGGTCACGGTGGCTAAGTCGGTAAGACGCTGGCTCGCTAGTCTTGATGATCGACAGAAATTCCGGCGTGGTTCCCCGATTGTCAGTGATGCAGGACGGAGGGCCTGACAAGGACAGCTGTCTAGTCGTTCGGATGGGATGAAAAACCGAGGTCGCGTGTAATTATTGGCGTGCACGTAAAAGATCCCTTGGCAGTAGGTCGTAGTGCCGCTGTCCGGGTAAAATTACCCTCATATCTCACTGTATGGCGTATGCTCATCTTCATTAGCCCCGTTCGGAGCAGAACAGTAGGACGTTAAACCCCATTTCATTTCTTCTGTTCTGCTTCTCTTAAATGTGGACCCATCCTTGTTTATTCCAACTTAATGGGATTCCCAATCAGAGAGAAAGTCGGTGAAGCATATTGGGTTGTTTACACGACGTTCAGCACGATCTTTAAATGTTTACGTAAACCTGAACTTTAAATCGCTTTAAAAGTATATCGTATTTATTTGGGTCGAACGTGAATGTCGTCAGCAGTCTATGCGATTTGATGCATGCATTATAAAAGACGATTACATACTGACATTAGACACTATTTAATCGTGTAACTTAAGTCAAAAAAGACTTAATATTGCATCAACTGCCCCGTTTCTTGTTCTTTGTAATAATAATAGGCATATTGCCTGACATTTTACATGTATAGTTATTATTGAAGTAATTAGGTGACCCAGGAGTGGCTACTTAAGTAAGATTTTGAATTTTAAAATTTATTTTATACATGCATGATGCAATTTATAGTATTAAAGATCGCAATTGTAGTTGCCATGCCGAAGAAATAACTTGAATAATATTGTAATATATACATTTAATATATGTACATTTCCGGAATTAAGTTCACAGTTTATCGTTGATCTTTTTTTTATCAAACTTAGTTTGAATGTATATTTGATATATCAGACATATACAACAATATTAATAAACCATCTCAGGATGAAGAGATTGTCCGAAAATTCTCACATACAGCAGTTAACTCGTATCCCCACCCCATGTTTCTCTCTGTGGTCTATTTGCTATATAGCTGTCATCTGACTATTCTATTTATTACCGGCGAGGGCGTTGTATGTTTCATCGTGACCGTTGTAAGATAAGTGTTTGGCGTGTGAGGGGGTGCTGGGCTAACCATACTCGAAATCATAACAATACAATTCTTAGTGAAATATCGCTTCATTTTAATTTATTTCTATATAGAAACATGTATATTTTTATATATTATTTTTTTTTTTTTTTTCAAAACCAACATTTCGAAAAACATCAGTCTTTGTGTTCCCAATAAATCAAATTCGGTTTAACAGTTACGAACATGATAGAACACGTGTCATTTGACTCTGCTCATAAACAATAAATATTTGATTTTATCCCCTAAATGATAGGATTTACCCTCATATTGTTCTTAATGCACGTGTGTTTGTCCACGGGGTTAACAATTAGAATATCAAACTGTAAAATAATACTTTTATGACAGCCCCGTGGCCTCTGTAATCCTAATTATTGTAAATAAACCCTCCTGGATTAAAGGGATTAACATAAGGCGGTGTGGCTTCTATACTTCCTCTGTAATTAGGAACAACTAAAATTTGACACTTTTCACAATTTCAACAACGGCTTTAAGTATTGGTTAAATGAAATATAAAAGAAGCTCAAAATGTCGATAATGTTTTAATTGAACAGACTGAACAGCAGATGGGGTGGTTTATTGATGATAGCACCTTATCAAATACTAGTTTACTACCTATAATGCTAATCTTGTAGTCTAACAAAGCAGTACGTCTTCTTCAGTTGCGGTCCGATCAATGAACCAGCTATATATGAGTCTAGAGATATATCGCCAAGACGGCGTTTAAGGATCACCCTGTCGATGTAGATTCCCGCTTCCATTTTTTGTATGTTTTATATTATCATCCAAATTCTCAGAAGCTTCGGGGGGGGGGGGGGTGCTGGCTGAATGGTTAGCACGTGCTGTATCATAAAGTTTGTCATTGAGTCAACTGGCGTGGTTTCGAATCCCCGGTTGTACGTGACAAGGAGTAGGGTCGCCTGTCCAACTTCGTGGGTTTTCTCCGGGTCCTTCGGTTTCCTCCCACTGCTAAATACCCCTACGCGCAAGCAAATTATTGAAATAAAATTGAACCATATGTTAGTCCCGAAATGACCTGGTTTGTGTCGAGTTAAACCCCATCTCTCTCCCTCTCTCTCTCTCTCTCTCTCTCAGAAGCGTCGGTTGTCAGTCTGTAAACTCAGTAATGGGTGGTTGTACAATTTTTAAAAACTATTTATCGAACGTAAAATTGCCCATCTCAGTCAAGTAGCCCGTTTTTCATGTTCAACCTTGAAAGAGATTAGGATAATGCATATACTTATTGCGATTCATTTCTAATCCCAGATAACAAGAGCAAGTGATCGGTCAACAGCCCCCGGATATACTCTATCAAATTCATTCTACATGAACGTGATCTAATATATATAATAAATATATTTACTACACCTAGATCTTTAAGACAGTAATCAATTGATAACACTGACTTTCTTTTAAAAGGTTAAATCAACAACCTCGTAAAAGTAAATTCAAGCACAATCGATCCTATAACCAGTGGTCAAATGCTAAGTATATATACTGTTCACCCGAAGAACCGCAGTGACAGACATAGACTCAGACGTCATTTTCAAACAATTGTATTTACATTAAGAAAATCACATTTTGTCAGGGTGGTGATTTCCTCGACTTTTTTGGGGAAACGGTATGCTGGTACCTGGCGAACGGGATACGGTTCCATGCCAGGCCCTCAGTCCTGCACCACTGACAAGTTAGAGTTGTTTAGTCGTTCAGATGGTACCAAAAACGGAGGTCCCTCGTACACTTTGGCGTGCACGTATAAGAACCGCTGACAGATGGAATTTGTAATAAGAGTAAATTTCCCTCATAGCACACTGTATGCCATACGCCCGTCTTTATTATCCCGGTCGGTACAGAAGAGTAGGACATTAAACCCCATTTCATTTCAATTCAATTCTTTGACGAATCTGCTAAAGAACCCCTACAGCAAGACCACCACTACCACTATAAGACTGGGACAAACTGGGATAAACCCTTTTAGGCTCGGGATCTGGAGAATTGGTAAATAAAATATTAAAAGTTTGTAAATAATTGATTTCCTGTCATGCCCACCATTTTGAACGAAGAAGCAGATAAATTTGTTATCGAAATGTCAGTTTATTCCAGTATTAACAGTAACAATGCGATGAGTCTTAAAGAGACTGTATATAATATCTAACAAATATACACAGACAAGGCTGAGGTATTAAACACTAAATATTACATAGAAATTTATACACAATAGATATTACAATATACTAACATACATTTCGAGTACGTACTTTCAAATTAATAGATCATGCATTGATATTGAAATTGAAAGGAAATGTACCTGAATTTGCACGCATAAAAGCAGAGTAATTCATGCCATTATACAAACCGGCTAAAGATCTTAAATTAAAGAGCACAATCAACCGGATTAAGTCTATAATAGAAAAAGCGTCTGACACATTTTATATCCTCTATAAATTAATAATTGCATTTTAGATTATTCACTTTTACCAATGAGATTCGAATTTCGTTAATTGAAAATGTACATTTTGCAGAGCTGTGACAACGCTTGAAAGCTTCACAATTTGAAAGAAAACACGATGAACTGTCTATTGTGAGTTTTAATATGGGATAGAAATGAACGAAAATTATGGAAAAGACCGCACGTCAACAAATCCCCGAAGAGCACGTCTCGGGTGATGACATAATGATCAGTAATGTGACATCATGTTCGTGCTTTGTGTGTAATCAGACAATACGTCACACAATATGTGCAGGTGCGATGTACGGATTCCGACACTTGTGTAAATAAAGTTAATAAAAGAACTAATTTACTCTCTATAAATCATTTGATCAGTACTGTAAATGCCAAATTAAATGTCCATGTTGCTACGAGACCATATCAAGAAGAGGTCCATTTATTGTTCACAAACGATTGTTTGCATTAGCAAACGACCACTCGTTAAATTTTAATATCTGCCTGCCACAAATACAATTGTAGGCCTGCATGTGTTTGGTGAAGGATTTACATCTACTTGGTATGCAATAAAAAGTTGTTGGCTTTTGTTTTTGTAAACTGATTTCACATTTTTTTTTCAAGATCTAAACTCTTTTTGAGCTAATATCAGTAAAAGTTAATTCAAGGACAAATTCGGAAATATTTTTCTGATATATCAATAAGGCACAAGTAAAAGAAATTGCATAGGTAATATATTGCAAAGGGAAACAAAATGACACTGACATTTCATAGTTAATTTCTCAATTTATTGAGAACATGTTAGTTTTATAATGATCCTTATTTCTAATAATCACATTTAATTAAATGGGTTATAGTATATTCTGAAAGCATAGCACAAAAGGGTTCTTGTTTCATCCATTTATGCCAGTCATGTCCTCCAACAGCAAGGACAATTTTTGAAACTAAAAATTATTTGGTTGGTCAATGGTATTCTAGAAATTTAGATGAAGGCAGGTTTGATTTTGCATATAATATTTTTTATTAACTTCTTGTAATAATGGGATAAATAGAGCAGATATTTGTAAAATTTGTTTTCTGAATTCATACTGACAAGTACACACCCAACCCTTTTACAGGGAAACTAATGCATGTGGCGCTTCCATTTCATGGGGGATATGATAAAGGGTTACTTTTAATCTTGTGACCAATCAAACAACTTTAAACAAATCCTGTACTTTGTGTATTCATTGTGAAATTCCTATATTTTAGCAATGACACAAATTTCGTAAAATTATTTCTACTTAAGAATTTACCAAACACCTCTTCATAAATGGATTACCCAATATTTGATTAAAAAATTACACAAAGCAAGAACCCTTAGACAAATTATTGGCAGATGTATATCAATCTATAAAACTTTTTTAAAAAATGGGGAAATGGACAAAACAGAATCTCAGAAAAAAACTGAGATCAACATTTATTATTTATGTGATACAAACTAGAAAAGTTTTAATGTATATATTAATAACTTATTACAATCTTGTTACATATCAATATATATACATGATAAAATGAAAAATTTTAAACCTGTAGAAAAATTATCATATAAAAGACAATTTTTATTTTATTTTGTGTATGAAAAAAGGCAATTTGTTGTATTAGAAAACAAATTATGAAACATGTAAGAACTTATTAAAATGTATAATCCATATTGAAGGTGAAGATTTTTATCACTTTTAAAAAAAAATATTAATATTTTTAAAATTAGAAATTTTACGATTGGTTTTGCATACATTATTAGGTATTGCTGTGGTTTATTAATGCTAGATCAGAGAGCTTTCATTTCATTCTTCTATATTTACAATGATGTACAAAGAATAAAGATTTTAAAAAGCAGTTTACCACTGATATTTACAATATATAAGTCTAATTCTACACAATTAACATATACACCTTAAATATATAATTCTTGGCTATACGTATGTAACACAAGAAAATAGTAATATCATATAAATGCATAACACATGTTTTTCATATAAAATAGCCATTTTTAATTTAAATATAGCTATTAAATATAATTAACACATTCAAGTATTATCTTGTACTAAATAAAATAGTACAACTTTGGCTACGAAAGTACAAGATACACTTCAATTAATTTATACAAAAATTTGATTGTTTTGGCATTGCCATTATATTTTGAGTCACCAAAAAATACAGGGTTGTTTTGTAAGGTCAAAGGGATGACATTTGTAATTAGCCTACCATTTACCTCTATAATTTTAACATTCTACTCTTATATCAGTTGGAGAGAGGTTGGAATTTGACTTATATGTGTGCCTTTTCAAACAAAGACATTTTGAACCAAATACTATTAGTTTTATTCATCATAGGTCTAAATCCTTATAGCTATAATCTCTTTTTTAATTTTTTTTATCTCTTCTCAAATAGAAAGAACTTATAAATTTAGATGTTATAAAAATTAATACATGTATATATGATAAGGTTACCCTTTCTGAGTATGACATTATGACAAAATGAAAGTGGTAAAAATAAATATTATTTATGTTAGGATGTTATTATGCTACAATTAATGCTTCTGTTAGAACATATACATAACATAAAATATTAACACATACATTATAATGAACCAAAAACAGAAAATATGAGAAGACAACTGATGTTCATGAAAACATTTCTGTAATGGCATCGATTCCAAGAAAACTGCACTGTTTTTTATAGGACAATATATCAAGTATTTGATGTACATGTATATATATTATATTCAGTGGCGGATTAAGCTCCACCAAGGCCTGAGGCGGCAGTTGCTGGAGGGCCTATTTAAAATGGCGTGGGCCTAATTAATTTCGGGTCAGGGCCTATGTTGATTCCCGTTGGGCCTAAACCCAACCCCCCTAACATTCATTGTCTATGCGTTTTTAATCGTATCAGACAAGTCTAAAAAACTTTTTTTTACAAAATCGTTGGGCATGAGGCTGCAGCCTCATCAACCTCACTGATAATCCGCTACTGATTATATTGAATTTTCTTGAGGAATTTAACACAAAATTATTAATTTCATTTTCTGTAGGTTCAATATTCAATAAGAATTTTTTTACTGGAATTCAAGTAATTTCAACTTATTCTATATTAAATCATCGAAAATATTGATGATTTAAAATGTAATTTTAGTAATATTTTTAATGCTTGGCACTGATTATTAAAGTTTTTCATTCCTTTAACAGTATTGGAAACAAAATCGAATACAAACCAAACTAAACAAAAATTATGATCAGTACTATTTGAAGTTTCATTTGAAAATCTCAAAATAAAAAAAATAAAAATGCCTTTCTCTAGATATCATAGAAAATAAATTTGTGGATACCATTTATAAAGTGCTGAAGCTGTATACTGGCATATGAAATTACTCTTATACACAGTCAATGAGTACTGTCATTACTGGGGTTACAGATACTGAGACAAAAATGGCAATTTTCTTGGAATTTTAAAGACAGATATTTACATTCACAACCATACATTCGTCATATAATCTTATAATCCCCCTTTCACACACCACATAGACAGTTGATTTGATTTAAACTTTCTTCCCATCACTCAATACATCAATAGGAGTGGACAAAATATCCTGATGTGTCATCTTCTTATTTAATCTTGCTGTCCTCATTTCACACTCACTGCCACTGAAATTAATAAAGATATTTATTATAATACACTTTAAATTTAAACAAGAGGCTGTGGCCCCCACCTTAATCTTAAAATAAATAAATGACATTCATTTAAAGATACATTATGGGAGATTAGATAAAAAAGCTGGAAGTTCTCACTATAATAGTTAAAAACTAGATAATGTAAAGGGTATTTGCTGAACCAAGAATTTAGCAATTGAATTTTCGGCCTAGCCTCGATCATCATTACTAAGCTCTTCACTCAGCTTAAAGTACAATATTGGTGTCGGTCATTATCACATATGTGATCACATATGTGATAATGACGGACACCAATATTGTCCTATAACCTAAGCAGTAAAATCTCATTATTGAACTACCAATTATAATAAAAGTTGTCATGTTTTAAGCCGACAATGCTTTTTATCGAACTCAGACAAGACCTTTCCTAACGTAGGTCTACCAACACACACATGCAAGGGATATTGTACCTCAATTATACGATGAGTTATAGTGTTTCGAATTCTCAAACAATTAAATTGGTTATCTCTGTTTAGCTTATTGTAACAGGGAACATCATAATAGTCTTAATTAAATAACATTGATTTTCTTTAATATTCATATAAAAAAACATCTTGCAAGAAAAAAATGGATTTCTGCAAAATAAAACTGACAATAGTGAAGCTTTAATCCCAAAATAATTAATGACACTCATTAGTTACGTGCACATTTATCTTTATTTAAAGCATTGAACAATCAAACTGCATATCATTCTGTTGAACCCAAACAGAAAATGCTCATTAACAAACTTAGCCAAGGTAGTGATGTAATGAAACTATACACCAAGTTTCATTACTCTCACTCGATAGGAATCAGATTTATTATGTTCCAATGCATCAACATATCAACTTGCTTAACCTAAGCAGAAAGTTTGGACATTGTGTTCCAATGTCTTAAGCAGAAAATGCTCATCATTAACTCGGTGCATTCAAATAATAAACATCTGAACCAAGTTTGAACATTCTACCTCAATTAGAAGTTATTGAGCAGAGGGATTGACAAGACAGCATCCCCATTTCAATAGTCTCCTGTTTCCCCCCCCCCCCCCCAGCCACCCACCCCTGAAAGGCAGGGTAAAAGCATATCACAACAAACATCTGGTTAACGAGAGGCTCAGGGACCTTAACAAGGTTGTGGATTATTATCTTCATGCAACATTTAACAGAATAAAAATTGAAATTTAATCACAGCTATCAATCACAAATCATCACAACCTCAAATCTAATACAAATTTTTAAAGTCATGCATCATAAATCATAAATTTGAAAAAAGAAGATTAACAGTCAGAGCACTTTAACTTCAGACCATTAAAACACAAATGCATTCAAATGGATCTAAAAGATCAATAGCAGTAATAAACTTATATATATGGCAAATAAATGCATTACCCGGTATTCAGTATCCGTATCAGAAGAAATATTTTTAGTTTAAAAATCAATAAAATCAATGAACATGCCAAAGACATTAAAATATTCTCAAATGTTTTTATGGGTAGATGTGTTCGATTTCTGTCATGGAAAAAAACACCTCAAGCAGAAACTTCTTTTTTTTTTAATATGCCATTATGATGATTAAGTTAAGCTGGTTAAAATCACTAGCTCGATCCTTTCTTCCAGTAGTTGGGGTTTTTTTTTGCCAAGCTACCTAACTTGGCCACCAGTCTTGGTTGCCTAAACTGGTTGACTTAAAATTGACAGTTTCAGCTAGCTTTGAGCATGCACATTTGTTAATTTATGTTTTCAAGTACAATATAAGTGCGCATAACTAACGCCTCTGACAGTGACAATCGCAACAGAACAATTAAAGTCGTTTCGCCTCTAGTCGAATGTAAATGCTACACTCTCCTAGCTTAAAGATACATTATGGGAAATTCGATAACGAGTTGGTAGTTCTCACTATAATAGTTAAAAACTAGATAATGTAAAGGCAATTTGCTGAAAATTTCATTCAAATTGATCCACTATGAAACGAGAACTAAGCGGTTGAAATTTCCGGCTAGCCTTGATCATCATTACTATAGTCAGTATGATAAACAGCATAGTCTCGATTATCAATTTAATCGTTAAATCACGAAGGAAAGTTATGCAGTAAATCGACTCATAATCCACTAAAGATCACAGGCTAGCGATGCCATCTAGAGTTGATTATGGTCTGGATAGGTTAATTAATGTCTAATTAATAGTTTAGATAACATTTCAGGCCTAAAAAAGACCTGCAATAGGCAGATTTAGCTCTTGCATAATGCATGTTTAAGAATTCCAGCATTTTAAACTAGCTTATAAAATATAATTGTATGAACAGTATGCGTGAACTCAAATTTATTGCTGAAATGAGAGCTAACCTTCCATTTAGAGCTTCATTATCATAAACATATGTTTAAAATGTAGAAGTAAACTCTGGTAAGTTTTGCCTTAGCAAATCATGAATACAAGTATTTTATTGAGACTACAGCTGGAGTTATATACCATGTTATAACTGTAGGTAAAAAAAAATAACACTTTAAACAATTTTATGATCAGGACATTTACTAATCTAATATCATGCCATTTATATATCTGGGATGGTAATTAACAAGTCAGCTGATTTACAGGATGATACAGCTAGGTTAGGTCTAGACTCAGTGGACAGGTTTATATACACGGTTTATCTGTGCAGTTTTATGTGTCTTTGCTGCAGCATGCAGCAAGTAAGTAACCAGCAGTTACTAGCTGAATTAAAAAACAAGACCTATTTATTAACTGTAATCCTTTATCATGTTGTTATTGATCATATCTCACATTAAAGATCATATCTCGCATTAAAGATTATAATTACCTGTTTATGCTTCATTGTGAAGGATATCTAAAGCAACAATAAGATACTTTTTTTTCAACAATAAGATATTTCTTTTTTCAACAATAAGATATTTTTTTGGTAATTCTCTAGATTTATTCTCTTGTAAGAGTGTGCATAAACACACACACACACACACACACAGAGTGAGAGATAATTTGCTTGCAGGTAGGGGTCTTTAGCAGTGGGAAAAAACTGGAGGCCCAGAGAAAACCTAAGAGGTTGGACAGGCGACCATGGGATTGAAACCACATCAGTTGGCTTAACGACAGACGTTATGACCTAAAGTGCACATATTTGACCACTCGACCAATCTTGCACTTTTGAAAAAGTTTGTTAACTATGATGTTTTGTCTCCTTTAACTGTATGTACAGAACAATGTGACCAAGGATTGTCATGAGTAAAACATTGGCCTGTAGATGAAATTATATGGCAATGGGCCATAAAAAATAAATTTTCTCCAGGCAATGTTGTTGTTATTTTTTTTTTCATCTTTGGCCTTCACAGATATATTTTATGTTTTATGTACCAGTCACCTTGGGCAGTATCAGTTTTAATGCTGATAAATAAAAGCAGTAATTGGTATGAGTGGTGGGCCAATTGTGGGGCATGCAAAGTTGAAGGTCACAAGTTGTTATAAGCAAATTGATAATGTTTGGCTGGCCAGTCATGGATATCTACCTACAGACAGACAGGTGTCAGTTTTGATACACTATCTCTCTCTACATCAACTTAAATAAACATTTATTATATTATCTTATAATGGTTCAACACCAACATAATCCTACAGAGTTCAACATTAGTTATTGATATCAAATGGAAAAAATATTTCTGTGCTGGCATTATAGAGATTCACAGTTTTTGCACTGCAATATTTCAAGGTTTCTCAGAGGCAGATGCCATGACAGAACTTGGAGATGGCCACATACAAAAAATTCTGAAAGTGAACCATCAAATTCATAATTAGTCAAAACATACCTGTACAAATCAAATGTAAAATATTTACTATAAATGTGACACCCAGGTATATATTATCAACTTTTCCATAACTTGTTTTAAGATCTTATATAACCCATCATTTAGTCTGCACCTTTAATGCCAATGTTCAACTTAAACGCACACTTGAAAAGATTGTTGGAGTGACAAAGGAGAATTATGAATTTTTTTTTATAACTCTTTAGAAAAATTATACAAATTTACCATCACAGATCCATTCTGAACACTAACATAAACAGAGAAAGTCACACTGTATGTAAATTTAATGAAGTTATTCAAAATTATATATTAAAAAAATATCAATTTATTCTACAATAGGTGAATATTGCTATTCTCTTGGGATAAGTCCAACTCTTGTAATTGGCATAAAAAAGAGAATTTTGTAATAGTTCATTGATATTTTATTTTAGCATAATCAATAAAATGGATAAAGTGACAGTATAGTAATATACATGTTATTGGCAAATTGCCTAAATATACCGTGTACTTTATTTGTCTTAGTTCTAATCATGTGTTCAAAGGTGATATCTAGGCCTTATCTAGGGTTGGCTAAAAAGTAAGTATTATTTGATCAAGCACAATTTTTTTTTTTTCTACCTTCAAAATAATTTGATCCAAATGGGAGGTCAGGTATGGTGAATGACCGATCAACTTATTATTATATTATAAAATGTAAGATGTCACAGGTAATAATGCCTACTGTCTTTCCAAATTCAGGCAAAACATTTTGGAAAATTTGGGTGAAAGCAAGAAAAATTAATTGGATAGTTAAAGCAAATTAATTGCAGCAAATAGTCAGCCAAAAATTTTGACACAAACTTCTTAAATTTGGTTTTATCAAGTTCTTTCAGTACATAAATTAATCCAATAACTGTCAAGTTAGTATGAGTTTGGCAATCAGAAATCCATCAAATTTAGCATCTATTCATGATCAAACAACTACGATCTCATTCACAAAGGACATAAAACAATATGAAGTGCTTTTTCTCTTCCTGAGCTTGTCAAATAGATCTGGTCAATTACAACCAGGCGAATATCTTTTTAAGCCTCTGAATTTCTTCAATTGACATTTTCATCACTGAGATAAGTCAACTGAAATACAACCTGCATGCTGTGTGATAAAATA